CGGTTCATTCTGGGTTCTAGTGGCCCTAATCTGCCCACTAGAGTGTGCACATGGTGTCCGGTATTAGTTTGTGCCGGCAGATGTTCAGTTATCAGTTACGTGATTTTTATCACGAGATCAGTATCAGATTATTCAGTACCGGTATCAGTTATCAGATCAGTTTCAGTTCAGTTATATATACCCGGATCATGATATTGTTATTATTTTCACTGTTTTACTTTAGTATGAGTTTCTGCGGAGCACAGTGTTTTAGTGCTCACGCCCCCACGTATTTCATGTTTTTTAGGTCACCGAGTCGGGGACGAGGAGTGAGCTGACGAGTTGTTCAGGATATTTGTTGATATGTATATATATGTTTTGGCTACGCTACATTTCCGCTACAGTTTCAGTACCTTAAATCAGTTTTTGATCCGACGGTAGTCGGTTAATATATTATATAACCATTTTTATTATTCAGTTTAAAATTAATAGTTTTCAGAAAAGTCAGATTTTCACGGTAACTCTCCGAATCAGTTTTCGCAAAAAAAAAAAAGAAATATTTTATTTACTTTATTTAGAAAAATTGCGAAAAAGCGTACTCTGATTTCAGTAAATAGCGGGATGTTACAATTGGTATCAGGGCACGTTTTTGCGTCTCTGAAAAGTTTTACGAGTCAGAAAATTTTCAGAAAACCTGAACCGTCACGCTCACGCCTCGCCGACTTCAGGTAAGTGCTGATTTATGTTTTCAGTTATAAATGCTCAGAAATTTATTAATCATGACTTAGTTAAGATGCTCGAATCAGGTTCAGACTTTAGAATTCAGTGTACTTAGATATAACTCTAGATTTCGTCAGGATTCATGTCAGTAATTTCCCAGTCATGTTTAGCGACTCGTCAAGGAATTTGTGCGTTTTACTGAACAACTTCCAAATGTTATCACTAAAGAAGTTCGAATCAGAATTCAGAACCTGAGAAAGGGGCTAAGTTTGAGAACTCTAGATTAAATTCTAGATTTATTCAGGTCGAGTTCACAACTCGTCAAGAAATTTGTAAACACTTATGTTATACAAATTTTAGTAATCATGTTCCTCAGACATTTTCTATCGAAAATTGCCATTTTGCCAACCAGTTGGCAGATTTCAAAGAGGAATTCCTTGAGTTAGATCAGGGAATAGACTCAAATCTCTTAAGTCAGATCAGTAAATCATGTTCAGGGCTAGATTTTCATGTTAAAGGTTGTTATAATTTTCAAGTCATTGTCAAGGTAACGGTTTCAAGTGTATAAGAGTCAATAATCCGGGTTACCATAGAAGGCTTGAAATAAGAGCCACTCAGCCGGATATACCATGGAGGCTTGAAGTTGGGGCCAGAGCAGTATGATTTCATGTAATCACAACCTTTAAAGTCAGTCATGTCATGTATTTTACCAATCATGATATTCCAAGTTATGATTTTCAAACTTTAAGATCAGTTAATTCCTTTGTATTTGCGGGACCAGTTGATACTGGAGCAGTCCTATGCAGTACATAGTCATGAGTTAACGTTCAAGATTTCAGGTCAATGTTCATGATTTAAGGTCGACGTATAATAGTTGTTTAGCCGGGTTAAATATGGAGGTCTGTAGTACAAACTGTTAATCCAATTCTACCTAGAAACTTGAAGTCACACCTTATCAAGTCAAGTAAATCAGTAAATGTCATGTTCCAAATTTCAAGGCGACTAGTTAGTTGTCTCGAGATAACTTCCAGAGTTCATGTAAAGTGATCCAGTCATGTAAAAGTCAAGTCATGATTATTCAGTTATGTGAATATTCAGGCCAGTCATGTCAAGATCGAGGATAGTCTGTCTAATAAGATAAGACTTATCAATCAATTCAAGTATAATCAGTGCCTCGATTCTGAAATTTTAAAAATTTGAGAAATCGTAGGAAAGATAAATTCATGACAGACTTTTCTTGAGGTTAAGATTGACCTCAGGGGAAGGAAAAACAGTTGCAGATACCACAGGTTGACATACAACGCAACGGAGAAATGCCAATCAACAGCAGCAGATCATGCCATGATGACAAACCGACACTTTCCATTCAAGGATGCATGACGCAAGAAGAGAAGGATGCCATGCCTGAGTCACAGTACACTGGGAAATTACAGAGAGTTAGCATTATAGTACATTGAGGTTACTAGCTTAAGGTACAAATATACAGACTACGTCGACGACGCAGGTGCAATGTTCGCCAGGTGCTGTACGCAGGCGTGCCGCACTCACTTGGTGAGGAGCAGGTGTGCCGCAATACGATGTGCCGTGAACGATGTGCCGCGTTATCGAGTAGATGTTCATGAAAGGTAATTATCTATATTGCTAGTTATCCTCATTTGTACACATGCGTATCTCTGGAATCTTCCGGGTGTACCAACGACCGGGGTTTTCCACCATCAGCGTTCAGACCGAAGATCAGCATGAAGCCAGGAAATGATGACCAGTGCGCTCAAGAATTACATTTTGAGATCATGAGTAATCAGTAAAATACTTTAATTCAGGAGAGTGTACATTCTCAGTCAGCAGTAATCAACAATTCACTTAATTGTGAATTGATGACTCCTCAGTTCAGATCAAGTCTATTATTCAGTATTAAAGTACTGAATTCTCAAGTCATGTAATCAGTAAGTATAAGCTTTAAGTTAAGCTTGTACATTCCAGTTTTAGTATTTCCGAGGACAGAAATATTTTAAGGGGGGTGGATTGTAATGCCCCGTATTTTATTAATAAAGGAAAATACTAGCTTTTAGTTTTAAGCTAGCCTTTGTTAATAAATAATCATGTTCATGTTCAAGTTCGAGTTAATCAGCTAGTCACAT